TAAAATTGGTGCACTAGTTCCAAAGATATTGACATTTTAATAATCGTACTTTTGACCAAAATTAAAAAAATCAAAATTTTTGTATATCTCAAAAATTGCTCTACTTTAATTTTTTCTGACCATGGCATTGAATTCAGCGTAGGATTTTGCATTAGAAACGTTGGTCAACCACTAAAGTTCACACTTTTTATGTTGTTTTGTAAACTAGTGTTATTTTTTGTTCGCTTTGCTGCCATTTTTTCACCAATGAGAGTGCAGCACATGTTTGAAACGATCGGTGATGATCCTCTGGAGATGTTAATGCTTATATCGGCATGATATAACCGATTATAAATATTTTAATTTTCGGTTCGTTAATCGTTAATCGATTATTCGAATGAAAATTGGCCACCACTAGATGAATGTGAAATGTCATTTCAAATATAAGGGCCGTACGCAAATAATGATACAATTTAAAGGGGACCTGGGCTAATCACAAATTACGTCCTCATGGTAACTGAAATAAACACGAGTGTCCACCGGTTGTTCACACTCTCATGAGGCAGTGAATGATGAGACGGGAGGCTGTTTCACCAAGAACACTAAATTGAGAGCACGCAATAAGTTTATATGCAATATGCAATAAGCTTGAAATGTGTGGAAGAAGAAAAAGAGTGACTCTGACAAACAAATGTCACGCTAGAGATTCTCATGCATTTTCACGCACTCACACTCACAACACCAAAAAATCTTTCCAGCTTCTTAGAAAATCCACTCAAACGTCTATTGAGATCACCCGTATAAAAAAGAACCATAGAGGCACAATGAAATGTATTGTTACCATAAAATATAATTTATTGTATTTACAACGATAAAATAACCATAGAATATATTGTTTTCACTATATACTCTATGGTAAATGGGTAAATCTACAATAGAGCAAGGGGGTTGTTATGTATCTTAACCATAGGAAAAATCACTTTTTTCCCGAACGAAGATGAGCTATTTATCATTAATGGTATTGTTGTTCTATTGTTGAAATTTTTTACTATATAGGACGTATTGCAAATCTATTGAAATAACAATATGTTAAAATTTCTTGTACAATATACGTACAATGAGACCGATTGTTGGCAATAGATTGTGATGTAATTGTATTTTATTTTATGGTAGGGTAAACACTCCTATAGTTGCGGTACGTTAGAAGCGTTAGGTTCCTATAGTTGTGTATGGAGACTCCGTACACAACGATAGGAGCCTAACGCTACTAACGTACCGCAACTATAGGAGCGTTTCCCCTAATTGTATTGTTATTCTTTCCGGACATGCTTCTGTATGCTGCGATAGTTTTACATCTACTGATATAAAAACAACATTAATAACAATGAATGTTGCAATGTAGCAATGTATGTTTGAACTTGAAAACTCATCGGTTATTTTTGTGCAGTTGAATTTTGCAAGGCAAAACTAGACTCACGCATGAGATTTGAATTTTTCGAACCGTGCCATGCACACACATATAGCCTCATCATAAAATAAAGACAGTTAACCAAGGTTAGTTTAACACAGGTATAGTAAATAACAAAAAAAATGTCTGCACGGCGAATGATAACGACCCAAATTTGAGTTTACTTCACTCATAATCGCCAAAAGTGCCGGAACTCAGCGATGAGTAAAATTTGTCTCATGGTTTCCTGTGGAAAGCCTAAAAAATCTGCCGGAAAATGAGTAAATTGATGAAAATTTTATTCAGACTCGAAGTAGTACCAATAGACTGAGTGAATCGTATCTTTACTTTTCTCAAATTCGGGATTTTTCCCCTGGAAAATCTAGGAAAAACCTGGAAAAACATGAGGCAAATTTACTCATCGCTGAGTTCCTGCACTTTTGGCGATTATGAGTGAACTAAACTCAAATTTGGGTTGTTCTCATTCGCCGTGTGTGCTGATAACCAGAGACGATGATTAATAAGAGACGCGCGAAGACTGAAGCCAAAAGTTCAAATCGAACCGTCAAACGCGGTTCCAATCGAGCAATGTAAATAAACACGAGCGCTTCACGAGGAAAAGCGTGAGGAGTATTGAGATGGCGGTTAAAATTTAATTTTTGAGATTCAAATAATTAAAATTTAGTTTTCCTAATAAAAAAAAATACCATAAACGAATGATAACCCAAATTAATGAACTATTATACAAATGGTTTGAATGATACCCGAAACACGTCGTTAGGCAACATATGCATAACGATTTCATTATGGTTGCGTATGAAAAGTGCAATTGGATATTATTTGACTTATGTAATACAAATGAAACACAAGTTAAATCTTTTGATATGCATTGTTATTTACATCAATGCCAAAAAGCAAATATTTATGATAAATTACAAAGCCGCTTTTTATTCACAAATGAATTGCTTCTCGATTATTTTTTTAAATGGACGTATCTGCTTTTGTAAACAATGCTTTTGTTCGTCGGTCGGCGTAACTGGTAGCTCAACCATGCATACTAACACCACTATCAGGTAGTGAGCTACCAGTTAAGCCAAATCAACGAGCAAATGCATTGTTTACAAAAGCAGATACGTCCCTTCGAAAAAAAATAATCGAGATTTCATTCATACAGGGTAGGAAGCATGAACCGCAGATTGCATAATTTTGAGCAACGCTCTGTAAAATATCCGCTCCAATATGGTATATTAGATTTCACTCTGTGTTGTCAAAAATTGATTATTCAAATACTTTCTAATACTAGTGACTTTTAATATGAGCGAATACTTTTTTGATCGTTTCGGTAGTATCGGTATTCAACGATACTACCGAAACGATCAAAAAAGTATTCGCTCATATTAAAAGTCACTCGAAGTAGACACAAAATGGTGGGCTGCCAAACCTAGCAGACAAAATAGCTTAGATGGCCATGCAACCAGATTTACTTTTAGCTCTTCGCACATCTTCTATCTTCTTCTTCTTCTATATATATAAAAATGAATTTCTGTCTGTCTGTCTGTCTGTCTGTCTGTCTGACCCTTATAGACTCGGAAACTACTGAACCGAATGGCGTGAAAATTTGTATACAGGGGTTTTTGGGGCCGTGGAAGGTTCTTATGATGGTTCGAGACCCCTCCCCCTTCTGTAAGGGGGAGCTCCCATACAAATGAAACAGAAATTTCTGCATAACTCGAGAACTAATCAAGCAAATGGAACCAAATTAGGCATGTGGGGGCGAGTGTGGGGGTATAAGGAGATAATCATAGGGGGTAATCCCTTAGATAATAGGGGGGGGGCTACGTACAATATAGCGTGCTTTTTTTAAATCGGCGCATAAACTCAAGCTAATATTGAATCCCGAGTAAGACCGGGCACACTCAGCTAGTCTCTTATAAAACATCGTCTCTGCTGATAACAATATCGCATCAAAATTATAGAAATTTGATGTTAAATTTAGAACAGAAATTTTTCAAATACAATTATAAACACACAAGATGACATAGGCATAGTCATGTAAAACACCAATATCGATATGTTGGATTCTTATGCAGTATACAAGAAATTATTTTGAAAAAAAATCATCCATGCGCGTATAGGAATTTCGCTCACTTGTTTGTATGATTGGTTATCGAGTAATGGATTTGATAAGGATATTGTTGTTCGGGAAATCCTAAAAGATTAACTTATGTTTTCCGGGAAAATTGGCACCTCAAAAATGGCAATGGTCATATTTTAAACTTTTTTTTTAGCAAGCCGTTACAGAAAAAGGTACAGACATCCATTAAATTTTGTTTGCCTCGTCCCCCGTCTCGATGAGTCTCATCGTCGTTCACTGGTCACCATAGCCAGTCGAACTCCAGACGAATCTAGAACTGCACTACCGTTTATACTGGCAACATCCCTATGACGAGACAGCGAAACTCTACCCCCCCCCCCTCTTCACCCCTTATCCTATCCTTCGAAAATCTACCCATCTAACCTCGGGTAAGCCACGAGTATTCGGCCCAACTCCTACTAGAGTAGGTGTACCAGTTATGACAACACGTTCCTATTTTGGTGTGTTCCAATTATGACCTAAGTAATTCCCACGTATAGCGTATAACGTATAACCGTAATTGGTACATCTACCCTAGACATAAAATTAAGTAAATTTTGTTACAAACAATGAACAACGAACTACCGGCTTCTTAAAGTGAACACGATTGAGCCTTCCAAGTAAACGAACTAGATAAAAAATAAAAAGTTTTTTTTTTTTACTTAGTTGAAGATGCTAATTTTAGATAACAGACTAAAGTGGTAATTTTTCTACGATAGATGAGGAGATAAAAGTATAGAATTGATAGTTCCGTTAGAGTACGGCAGTTTGAAAATTTCATATAGAGAGTAGAAAGCGAGCAAGGACAACTTTAGGAAGGTACAAATCGGTTTGATCATCTCTCTTTACCAAACTCCCCGTTGGGCTGGTGAGGGATATTCCCCCCTGATTATACTTCCTCCTCATCTATCGTATAAAAATTACCACTTTAGTCTGTTATTTGAAATTATCAATCTTCAATTATTTAAATCGTTGACTTCACGCAGAAGTAATACAAAACATATAGTCAAAGTAAAAAAAATATTGAACATTGTCTCAAGTTTTGTTTAATGTGTTGAATTCACATAAAAAAGCGTACTCGCAAAAAGTTCCAAATCTTTAGCAAAAAGTCGTGAGCTTTTTACAAAAAAATATAAATAAATTTACTGTTTGCTTTTTGAGAAATTTTATGTTTTTTTACTTTCTTAGAATTTTTACTCAAAATTACAACTTTGACTCAGACGTCATTTCGATCAGAAAAGACACCATTTAGAATGAAATTACAAGCTCCAAAATTGCCGATTTTTTGCAAAAATGTGAATGATTACCCATAACACACAGTGCTTTATGCAAAGCGGAGAAGTTCGAGTTTTTCCAATGCGTCATTTGACGTGAACTGATCTATTTGATGGACTAAGGATACGATTTAGTTTATTAAGAATTTGCTGGTCAAAAGTTATCAAAACACTAAATATTTATTTCAAAACACATACACATTCATAGCTGCCACCGACGGTATCACGTGAGCCCACGGAGGAAATTTTCCTATTAGATCCTTAAACTCCTGAGTGTGTTGGTCATGGTACTCCCAAAACGTAGTAACAACGGCAATATCTGCCAACGCACCATCGTGATGTTGATGTTCGAAATCCAGTGTCATGTTCCACGGTGCTCCGGGTAGACCATAGTTTATCAGCACAAAGTGTCCTTTTTGACCATTGAACTCAGTTGCTGGAGTAAGCTCCTCCAGTAAGTTCCAATTCACCAGCTTAACACCTGGCTTGGGTCCGATAATTAGCGAGGTTTGAACGCCACCTTCCATGGTAAACAATAAGCGCTGAACATGTTTGCTAATTTGCATCCTTTCTAGTAGGGATAGGGTTACCATTTTTTCCACCACGGGTTCCGGGCCAGGAAGCCAAAAATGATCAAACCGAATTTGATGCCACATGGAGTAGAATGGAATGGCACAGAAAATTTCCGTTTGGCAACTGCTCATTTCACGCATCCGAACGAGTGGTTCTTGAATCACAATGTCACGTATAACTCGCTCAGAATTACGATCCATTTCTCGGAATAGGAATCCGGAATCGCTGTTTCGAACTAGACCCCGTTCGTCGTGATAAAGCCTTAATGTGTGCGTAATGTAGTGTCTTTGGACGGTTGGAGTCTTAGCGCTATCATCCCGGTATGGGAAACTGGCTGGAGTAAAGCATGTTAAGAATAATGTTATGAGAATGATGGCAATGATTCGAGCCATTAGTTCGGAAGGCTTCTTCAGTAGCGAAATCAGTGGCGTTATGTAACTACTGATGAGCAGAGTGCAAAAGGCAGCAATCAATCCTATAAAGAATTCCGGGTTCTTGGTGCCACCGATTCGTCCGGATATCGGGATGAAGGTCTGCATAAAGGTGTGGTAGTAGTTTGAAGCCCAGAGCATTGTGAAAATCTGGAAGGCAAGGTGCAGCAAAAGCCATTTTGTGGTTGTATTATGATAACCCAGCACCGAGGTGGTTAATGATGACAGGAGTGATAACAAGGCAACAACCATAATGATGTATGTACTTCGGACTCCTGCCAGTGTTAACGGAATGATCAGCAATGACCAAAATAAACTAACTCCGATTAGCCGGGATTGTACGATTTGAGATAAATTCAGAGGGGTCTTCTTATCAGCAAACAGCTTGTTGACAATCATTTGGGAGAAGCAATGGCAGAGCAATGCCGGATCGCAATAAAGCCCCAACATAAGATAACGAGAGGAGTACCACGAAAGCGCGTAGCCTAGCGCATCTAGTTCGTGTCCAATGATAAGTATTGTCACGATGCTTGCAAGCGTACCACCAACTGTTGCTAAAAATCCATAAATTGTTTCCTTATAAACTGCAGTTCCACCATTAGGTATAGCACGCTTCAATCCATAGAGGGGAAACAAAACCGCTAGAATAGAAACTAGCATGTTGACAACCTGTCCAGTGCCTGCACTGTACGACACAAAGAACAAGCCCAAATAGTCAAAAAAGACACTGTTTCCTGTGGCTGTTTCCTTTTTTCCGCTGTTTGCCAGTTCATCACTGTTGATCATTTCTCTCGTTAGGGAAAGGATATTATCGCCAGTCCTTTGCAGCACTGCCACAGACAAATAGTCAATGTTATCAAACTTGGTGTGATATCGATATCCGTCGGCAACGTGAGCAAAATCCATTCCGGGCACCTGTCCGAAATCTCGAAACATTCTAAAATCCGTATCGGATGGAATCAATCCCGACTGGAAAACCTCCTCCGCAGCTGCATGAGCGAACGGATGCCTGATAGCTCGTGCATACAAATCAATCAACCACGGATGCTGTGGTCCGCTTTGAAACAAAATCTCTTTCCCCCCGGATCCAGCCGATTCCAAGTTCAAGAATGCAGCTACTTGTTTCGCCCACGGATGTTGCGTAATAAATCCATGCGCCGCTTGTAACGAAGTTTCTTCAGCACCATTGAACAGGAATATTATCGAATGACGATTACGCTTGGGTTCTCTGGACAACACTCTCATGATTTCCAACATGACACAGCAGCTGGCGCCATCATCGCTAGCTCCAGGGCTGCTGGCCACCGTATCAAAGTGGCAGTTCAACAACAGCGCAGGACTCGTTCCGTCATCATGCTCACTCACCAATTTCACCACCAAATTTTGCAGATTCCTGTACAGACTGGTCAATGGATGTCCCATGAAACCAACCGAATGTCCACCGGTTACCAACTGATGTTCGATGAGTAGCTGCTGGTTAGGGTGCTTACTGGCTTCGATCAACTCAATTTCACGCTTAATGTAATTAGCCGCAAGCTTTTCATTGGCTTCACTACCGATCGGTTTTGGTCCAAAATCGTTCAATACCTTTAAATTCTCCCATGCTCGCTCGGCAATGAATGCACCGGGGTTGTTTTCCAAATCAGCTCGTGTCAATGCATTCGGAAGATTGCTCAGTAGATAGCTCGAGATTGCTCCACAAATCAGCATCAACAGAACCCCGAGCATTCCCAACTGGGAATCAATCTGATGGAGATTGACGGGTGCATCTTGAGAAGATTTTGATTTCGTTTTCACTTTTCTCTGCCGGTCGACCATGTCTCGTGTAGTATGCAGACTGACTGTCACTGTTTGAAAATGTTCTCAATCTCCCGCTGATAAATGCAGCCAAATATAAACAGGTTTATCATTCTCACAACAATGAACGGCTCCAGATAAGCGGTTATCGGAGCACTGCGTAGGAACTGAAGCCTTATTCAACAACTTTGCGAAAAAAAATATAATTCTGGTTTGAATAATGTTGATACTAGTTGAATCTGGAAACTAGTGAAATAGTTTATAAATTTGGGCGAGGCATTTAAAAACCTTCATTCCTTCCGTTTACGGAACGATCGAATTGACGATTAATCGATATGTGGAAGTTAAATCAGAGTTTGGAGAATTGGAATTGCATGTACTTTGAATATATTGGCCATTAGGTTGAAGTACAGATAAGATTGTGTATGTGTAAGTAGTTGTTTCTCCTGGTAGTTGAAATGATCGACCGAACATTGGAACAAGTCGAACAATCGAGAGTCACCAGGTTGTAATGTGTATTGACCATCGTTTGAGGCTCTAGTCTATTTTTTATTCCGTGGGCCCCTATTTTTTTTAACTCTTTATTTGTTCCAAATTCAAAATAAATTACATTTCATTTTTAACCTAGGTGCTCCAGTTACTACAGTTACTTACCAGCCTTAATTGTTATGATATATATCTTAGTGTTTTTATATTGTTCCTGTCTTGGAAATTCAGTATTTTAAACAGGTTTTTTAAACCTGCATGTCAGTATAACAATTGATAGCTTAAAACTAATAAACTAAAACTAAATCTTATCTAAGTATAAAGGAAAATAAATCGTTGCAATTGAGGATTGTAACGATTTTTGCCGGAAATTATTAATTATTTTGTTGGACATTTGTGCTAAGGTCTCAACATTCGAAACTCTATGTACCTCGGTAGTACTGTACCAGGGAGGCAATTTCAAAATCATCTTCAGAATTTTGTTCTGAATCCTTTGAAGTGCTTTTTTCCTGGTAGTGCAACAACTAGTCCATATTGGCACAGCGTAAAGCATGGCCGGTCTAAAAACTTGTTTAAATATTAGAAGTTTTTTCGTCAGGCAAAGTTTGGATTTCCTGTTTATAAGAGGATACAAACATTTTATATATTTGTTACATTTGGCTTGAATGCCCTCAATGTGATCTTTAAAAGTTAATTTTTGGTCAAGAACTAATCCAAGATATTTCACTTGGTTTGACCAGGAAATTGGAACTCCGTTCATAGTGACTATGTGACTACTACTAGGTTTCAAAAAGGAAGCTCTGGGCTTATGTGGAAATATTATAAGTTGAGTTTTGGAAGCGTTGGGAGAAATCTTCCATTTTTGTAAATAGGAAGAGAAAATATCCAAACTTTTCTGCAGTCTGCTGCAAATAACACGAAGACTTCTTCCTTTAGCGGAAATGCCTGTGTCATCAGCGAACAAAGATTTGTGGCAACCCTGAGGCAAATCAGGGAGGTCCGAAGTGAAAATGTTATACAATATAGGCCCAAGAATGCTACCCTGAGGAACTCCTGCTCTAACAGGTAGTCGATTAGATTTGGAATTTTGATAATTTACCTGCAGAGTTCTGTCAGTTAAATAATTTTGAACTAATTTCATAATGTAAAGTGTAAAATTAAACTTTTTCAATTTAGCAATCAAACCTTCATGCCAAACACTGTCGAATGCTTTTTCTATGTCTAGAAGAGCAACTCCAGTTGAGTGGCCTTCAGATTTGTTTGAACGAATCAAATTGGTAACTCTTAAGAGTTGATGAGTAGTTGAATGCCCATGGCGAAATCCAAACTGCTCATCTGCAAAAATTGAGTTCTTATTGATGTGAAGCATCATTCTATTCAAAACTATTTTTTTTCAAAAAGTTTACTTATTGAAGAAAGCAAACTTATTGGACGGTAGCTAGAAGCTTCAGCTGGATTTTTATCCGGCTTCAAAATTGGAACAACTTTTGCATTTTTCCATTTATCAGGAAAGTATGCCAAATGGAAACATCTGTTAAATAATTTTACCAAGAAAGACAAGGTACTCTCTGGGAGTTTTTTGATGAGGATATAGAAAATTCCATCATCACCTGGAGCTTTCATATTTTGAAATTTTTTAGTTATAGACCTTACTTCGTCCAAATCAGTCCCCCAGGAATCATCAAAAATATTTTCCCGAGAGAAAATATTCAGAAAATCCCGAGCAACCTGATTCTCAATAGGACTAGTAAGACCCAAACTGAAATTATGGGAACTCTCAAATTGCTTAGCAAGTTTCTGAGCTTTTTCCAAATTTGTGATCAAAATTTTACCACCTTTTTTAAGCGCTGGAATTTGCTTTTGAGGTTTTTTCAAAATTTTTTGGAACTCGGGTCTAATTTAGAAACATTATTTTCAAAAGTTTTGTTCCTCAGGGCAGAGAATCGCTTTTTAATTTGTTTTTGCAAATCCCGCCAGATAACTTTCATGGCAGGGTCGCGTGTTCTTTGAAATTGTCTCCTACGGACATTTTTAAGACGGATCAAGAGCTGAAGATCATCGTCTATTATAATTGAATCGAATTTAACCTCGCATTTTGGTACTGAGGCAGCTCTTGCTTCAACTATAGAAGTAGTCAGAGATTCAAGAGCATAATTAATTTCATCTTTGGTTTGCAAAGGAATGTTTGGATCGAAGTTATATTCCATAAATGTTCGATATTGCTCCCAATCAGCCCTATGGTAATTGAAAGTAGAGCTGTTGGGATTAGAAATTATTTCTTGGTATATTTCAAAAGTTACTGGTAGGTGATCAGAACCGAAGTCAACATGGGTAACCATGGCTACAAAGATGACATGAATCAGTTAAGAACAAATCAATAGTGGAGGGATTTTTTGCTGAAGAAAAGCATGTTGGGCTGTTTGGATATTGAATAGTGTAATAACCAGCAGGACAATCATCAAACAGAATATTACCATTGGAATTGCTTTGAGCATTATTCCATGAGCGGTGTTTTGCATTAAAATCACCAATAATGAAGAATTTAGACCTATGACGGGTAAGTTTCTGAAGGTCACCCTTGAGAAAATTCTTTTGCTGGCCTACGCATTGGAATGGCAAATAGGCAGCTATAAACGTAAGTTGTCCAAATTTTGTTTCAACAGAAACTCCCAAAGTTTCAAAAACTTTGGTTTCAAATGAAAAAAGAATTTTATGTTTGATTCGTCTATGAAAAATGATGGCAACGCCACCACAGGGTCCATCAAGACGATCATTTCTATAAATTAAATAATTTGAGTCCTTCTTAACCTTATGGCCAGGTTTAAGGAACGTTTCAGTTATAACGGCAATATGCACGTTATGAACTCTCAAAAAGTTAAATAGCTCGTCTTCATTATCTTTAAGAGATCGAGCATTCCAATTTAAAATGTTTAATGCTTTAAAATCCATTACTGAATTTTAAAGTCATGACAATATTATTAGCAAATTATACTCCAGTTTGAATAGCATCAAACATGGAGTTAGATTTAAGCATATCAGAAATCATGTCAATTAATGAATTCTGTAAAAATTCCATTTTAGGAGCAGTATTGCTTCTTAATTCAAAATTTTGTTGGCCAGTATTTTGACTTCTACCCATTGCAATAGCAGCATAGGTAGCTCCAATTACTCGCTGAATATTGTTAGCAGCGAGGGAAGCAGGCATAGATGGAGAATTTGAAGCAGGGGTGATATTTGTACGTACGGGTACAAATGTAGAATTTGTTCATTGCTGACCGTTACAGCAGAGTAATTCGTACCTGCTCAGAAACGTGGTGCGTTTCCTACCTGGCGCTTAGAACCAGACTGTAGGATCGCTTTGCAAGTCTTACATTTCCAAAAATTGAATTTGTGGTTTTCACCACAATTGGAACATTTAAATTTCGTTGGATCTTTCTTCACAGGACAGCCATCCTTTGCGTGAGAGGAATCACCACAATGCATGCATTTAGCAGACATGTAGCATTTTTTTGTTCCGTGACCCCATCCCTGGCACTTATGGCACTGGGTGAGGTTTTGGAAACTTCCTCTAGTCTTCCTGAAGTGTTCCCACTTCACTCGGACATGGAGCATAAGGCTAGCTTTTTCTTAGGCCTTAAGGTTGATTAGTACACTAGACTGAAGTGAAATAAATAAAAATCATTACAAATCCCGTTGCGCGAATCGCCAGGACGGGATTTCACTTTCATTTTGATTGCTTGGAGTGGCACAACTCCAAGTAATTTTGCCAATTCATCTTTGATCTGATCGAGGGATGCACCACTGGACAGTCCTTTCATGACAACCTTGAACACACGTTCAGTTTTGGTGTTGTAAGTACAACAATGATGCTGCTTCTCAGTAAGATACTTGAGAAGACGTTTGAATCCGTCCAATTTGCAGTGAAAACTTGAATTTTTCGAAGTTCAAAAGTTAGGTGCGTTATCACAATAAGTGGAATCTTTCCTTCTTGGCATTAAGCCGGGATAGTTTACTAGAATTTTCCCTGAATGATGGATCATTCTCAAATTGATTGCTCAAATTAATTTCATCAGAAGGGGGACCAAGAGTTTGCCCTTTTCTTTTGCGCTTAGTAACCATGGCGCGGCACTAAAACTATTATCCAAATCGACTTCCAAGCAGATTACTAAAATAATCCGAACGATCGCAGAGGAATTTTCCAAATCGATATCCTAGCAGGATTACCTCGCGTAGGGTTCAAACAAGGATCGAAGAGAAATAAGAGTCAAACAAGGTAGACAATTTGCAGGTTTATTGAGCACTGAAAAGTGCTGTTTAAATATGTTGTAGCAAATAGATCCGCACGGCAAGAGGGCACGATGAGGACTGATACATGGACGTATAAAAAGAGATTCCCAACTCCCTGTGTCGGAAGGGAAAAATACTCTACAGAAGGAACACATACGTGTGCTTCCTTTGTAAGATATAGAGGCATCGGATGAACTCTTGCCCCAAGCGGAATGAACGGAAGCAGCCAGTACAGCAACCACAGGAAGAGAAAAACAGACAACGGAACGAGGAAGTC